TAGCGATGCCAGGAGCCCCTAGTAGCATCCTTGCTCCTAGAAGCGATCTTCTTAGATCTTTCCGACAGAGCCAGGTCACCATCGATCGCCGAGGTTAAAAAGATTTGTTTGGCTGAGAAAGTTGGGGACGGTTTTCAACCGATCACCGATCGCAGTTCCATACCTCCTGCTCGCACCCCTGCTCGCGCAGCTACGACGCCTGCGATGGCGCCACCAGGCTGGAGGGAGGGAGATGGGAAATCAAACATTGAAGTGTGACTTGAAGACTTCTTTCAACAGGTTTCAGGGAGCCACAATGTAGTAGCAGACTGGTTGATTTCCTGGAACTGGAGTAATTAACGTATGTTTGATGGTGAGCTTCATTTGACCATCCCGTGTAGAAGCAAGGAATAGAGCAAGCTGGAGCAGGCATCCGGGCAGGCATCCTGGAAGACTTGAACTTCATGTCAGTTTCTGAAAGGTCCTGGCTCAGCGTCCTGGACGACTCGATCGTGCCGTCACATCCGTCACGTGAGACGTGCAGGGCATGTGGGGCCTCCAGGATATCTTCAAGCGTCCGCCCACACTCTGCCGGGCCTCCAGGCCTGGTAGCGGGTTGGAGGGGTCAGGGAGTCATGAAACTGCCTGCAGACGACCCGTTGGTACCTCGGTTGACTACTTTTTATAGGGTTGTGTCCGAATTTTCAAGGTACTCGAAGTCGGGTCCTGGTGCTTGGCTTTTGGGATGTTTGTGCTTCGACGTTCGCGGCCGTCTCGGGATCCAACGGAGAAGTGGGGAGAAGTCGTTTGGGGGGGAGGGAGAGTAGGTCGGGAGTCGAAGTGGGGAGTCCAGAATTTTGTCCACAGCTGAGTGGAGCTTCTGAGAAGGTGATTGGTTTGGAGTGGAGAAGTTCATACCTTTTCTTTCACAAGTCGTCACATACAGTCACGATCCGGATCAAGCCTGTGACATTGGAAGCTCTAGGGGGACACTCCGTGGGTTTACCAATCGCTAAGGCAAGACACACACACACACACGAAACTAAAGGAAGAATCAGCTCAAATCCTTATCCACCAAGGTTTTTGAGCCATGGCGAAGAGATTTTCAGCGCTGTGGCCGAGTGGTGAAGTCATGTTTATTGAAGTCACACCAGAGACGACAGGCCGCGAGCTCAAGCAGCAGATCAAGGAGGGACAGCACAGGGACGAGCTCACTCACAGCACTACAAGTGTGGAGATCATTGTCGGATGAGACAACCACTTGCTGTCCAATGATGCACAGCTATTTGATGCTGGAACTTCTGAAGATACTTTTGAGTGTTGTCTTCAAACCAAACAAAGTGATATGTTCCAACAAAGATGCGGTCGCCATTCTTGGCGGCATTGTTGACTCAGAACTGCTGCTTGTGGTCCAAATTCTAAATGATGAAACACACATTCTTGAGCACGCTTTTGACGGTTGCGACACAGTGGCCAAAGTGACCATTCCGGACTCGGTGACCCATTGGGAATTATGCCATATATGTTTTTTCTGGTTGCAGCTCTTTGGTAGACTTGACCATCCCAAACTCAGTGACCCACATCGGGAATTACGCCTTTGCTCATTGCAACTCTTCGGTGAACTTGACCATCCCCAACTCTGTGGCGCACAGTGAAAAATTACACATTTCGGGATTGCAGCTCCGTGGTAGACTTGACCATCCCAGACTCAGTGACCCACATCGCGGATTTTGCCTTTGCTGATTGCAGTGCGTTGGTGAGCTTGACGATCTCATCCTTGACTGACAGACTTGACCATTCCAAGCTCAGTGTCTCACATTGGGGTGGTGCCTTTTGGGGTTGCAGCCCTTTGGCAAGCTTGACCATCCCCAACTCCGTGACCCACATTGTAGATTTTGCCTTTACTAATTGCAGCTCCTTGACAAACTTGACCATCCCAGACTCAGTGACCCACATTGGGAAGAGTGCCTTTGCTGATTGCAGCTCTTTGGCAAACTTGGCCATTCCACACTCAGTTGAGCACATTGGGCAAGGTGCCTTTGACAACTGCACAGTTGCAGGACGCGCAGAAGACACAGCTGAAGATGGTTCCTCTTTTCCCTGACGTTCAAAGGTTTGGGGAAGTTTGGGCGACGGTTCCCGCATTCCCCAGGTGCCAGCCGGAAGATTGCGACATGCATGGATTGCGACATGCACGGGCTGTCCGGATTCTTTTTATACATTCATCCTGAGCTGACAGCTGATGACACCATTCACAGGTTTGGGGAAGTTTGGGCGTGTGAGGTTCCAGCATTCATCCACGGGTGCCAGCTTTTATGTGAATGCGGCTGGTTTCTGAATACGGCTGGGTCCTTTTCCCACGAAGTGGGTGCCATCGCTGGACGCGTCACTCGCCCGAATCTGCAGCGACCGACCGAATCCGTCGGGAAAGGATTGGAACAGAAGCGCGGCTCATTTCGCAGCAGTTTCAGGGCGGTAAGAAGGGCGGTCACGGGCGGTTTCAGAGCAGGACCTGTTCCACCTATGGCCTCCAACCTACTAGAGATGGCCTCCAACCTACCAGTGATGGCCTCCAACCTACTATAGTTTCAGGGGAACAAAAAGGGCGGCTTCAGAGCAAGACCCCCTTCCATCGATGCAAAAGGGCTTCATGTTACACAGTGAAACACGCTTCGACTCTTCACGCAGGCAGTCAGGGCTCCGCAACCGAGACAGGCAGCTTGTGAGTGGGGAGGAGAGGTATGGAGGTTTTGTCTTGGCAGGGGTGTTTCTAGTGCATCCGTGCATCCCTCAAAAGGTGTGTAGATCTGAGGTACCTTAGTGTTGAAGCGATGTCCAGTTACCACCCCTTGCGGGTCCTGGAGTTCATTTAGTTGGTGAGTGTTTGTTGAGATCTGAAGTAAGAGGTTCAGAGGTACCTTGAGTTCTGTTCAACGGAATTGTGGCAAGTCGGCGAGCAACAGTATGAGATGAAGCAGGTCGAAAACAACTTGAGACTTCTAACAACAACTTCTGGCGAGGTGGAAGTGGGAACAAAAAGCAAGTAATCGATGGTTGTCGATGGACGGTTTTGCAGTATTACATGTATTACTATGTCTACTTCCCAGAGGCCTTCATGAACCCGAACCAACTCCTACATCTTTCAGGTCCAACCACCTATAGTTGTGAGGGTCGAAACCCTAGCAAACGGGTTGGGTCCAGACTCCAGACTCTGATCTGAGCCGAACTGGGTTCAATATTGTTCAATGTTTCCACGTCCCAAGTGGCCCAGGGGATTTCTTTCGCCTCCCAGTGCCTACCATGTCCATCGACCGATGGCCTGCGCGCTTGCTTGTGCGCCAGGCTGTCAAAGGACCGGTTGGGAACCTGAGTGATTTCGATGGGCACAAACCAGATGGGTCTCAACTCTTCTCGAGGCCTGGGAAGCGGGCGAACTGTTCGACCAAAACACTTATTGAACTTTGACAGAAGTCTCAAAGCAACCTCTGAGTGAGTCCCCATGGTGCATGGGAGTGTGAACAGGCCAGGTGTGAAGTATACGCCCCGGAAGATTCACATGGAACCTGAAAACCACTGGGTTGTAAAGGAACATCGTCTTCCAAAGGTAAATGTTCATCAATTTTCCGTTTCCATGTTATTCTTCTCGGGTGGAAATGCATGCAGCAGCCCTTATTGCTCACACGAACAGCCATTCACCACACCAGCCATTCAACTTAATGACAGTCTCCTATGGTTTCCCGTATTCCCAGGGACTCATGGACCCGAACCAATTCCTGCATGCTCAAATGGTCCAAAACCACCCAAAACCCTAGTTGTGAGGGTCCCTCACGAGTTCGGTCGAGACTCCTCTGAATCCAGACGAATCAGCCGAACTGGGTGTATAGAGATAGGTCAAGTTTTCCGCCTGTGATCGGTTCACATCGTTCACCCCGCGCTTTCCTCGGTGCCAAACTCCCCCACCTCTGGGTTCCACCTCTTAGCGTGGTGGATGCGTGGGAGCTTCAGAACCACGGATAGCCGCATGAGAATGCCAACGCGTCATCCCAACAGGTCATCTCAGAAATATTCAGAAATCATTTTTACCCACTAAGCACCCTATGACCCTATATATACATCCATTATACTACATTTGTAGGGGCGATGGGAAACCCGCTTTCCATACAGGTTTATAGTAATTACGTGTTAACTATGAGTTTAGTATGGGTTAAATACGGGGTTAGTACGGGTTAGAAAAAACAAGACCCGAGGTTAAGACCCGAGGTTCAAAGAACAAACCTGAAGTATTTGTCATTTCATAAAAATACCCGAGATTCCGATTGAGACCCTACAAAATTATAGGGTTTGGGTTCGTATAGGGTATATTTTGTTCTTCTCAGCTGTTTGGGTTTTCCTGTTTTCTTCCTCAGACTCTCCCTGCATGGCTTGGTAGATCATCGTAACGATCAACAGACCCCCCCCCATGAACCCCCGTGGTTCTTCCGAGGCTTTGCCAGTGGGTGGTGGTGTGGACGCACCAGTCACCAAGGCGAAAATCCGGGGTTCCGCCCTTTCTTGTTTCAGGATCGTTGATTGGCTAAGTCATGCATCGCTTTGCCAAGTGTTGATCTTTTTAAGCCTTTGGAAGCTGAGCTTTTATGAGCTTTTGGATGCTTTTGGAACTTGGCTGTGCTGAACTTCTTCAGAGCTTATTTTTGGCACCTATCTCCGAAGGCTCAAATATTGGATCCATGAACATCTTTTCAATGACTTGTTGTCAACGAAACAGAGGACTATCAGAACAATAGTTGAAAAACCTAGGGTATTCTGGTGAATATGTTGATCCAGATCCATTCAACTGATGAAGATCAGGTATGGGCAGGATGTCTCTTTGTTAGAGTATGCTTTTGCTGGCTGCATTTCGTACCCATATGCGCTGACTGTTGGAGCTGCAGGAACCCTCACAACCCAGACTGCTGCCGTGGGCACTGCCGCGACCGCCAGCGGCACAGCAGCGGCTGGAGCTAGCCTGACGGCTGGTGCTGGCATAGCAGCCTGTGCCTGCTGCTTTAGTGCCGGCTGCTGCAGTGGCAGTTGGGCTTCATTGGGCTTTGTGCGGAATGGATGCAAAGGACCCTGCTGAAGAAGCAGAGTTCGTCATGATGCAGGCCCAGGGCGCTGTACCTTGCACCATGCTGCTGGGCGAGGGGCGGTTCGGCAAAAGGACAAAGGCAGATGCCTCGTCCTTGTGTGAGACCACCACCGTTGTAACAGTTGCAAGGCTTGGGCGGTGATGTAATCATAGCCTTTTACGGGCATTGCGTTATCAAAGAAGACTTTCATCTTTATGAAGCTTGCAAGGCAGAAGCTTCGGGGAGACCGATGCCGCTTGTTTGGTGCGCCAACTTTTTCGTGCGCTGCAGCGTGTTCACCTGATGCGGCTTTTACACCGGGACGTGAAGCTGGCCAACTGCTTGGTCAAGGCATGGGCTGGGGACGTTTCTTCCTGGAAGGTCCGCCTTTTCTTCTGCGGCCACACTCCCACCAGCAGGAACCCTTGCGTTTTGGGCTCCAGAGCTCATCGCTGGCGAAGCGCCTGCTGTATCAGCTGACATTTGAGCAGGGGCTACAACGGCCTGGGCTCTTGCCGCAGGAACTGTGCCTCCCTCCGTTGAAACCCTTCATAGCTTGAGGCAGCCTGAAGTGAGCCAATCGCCTGGGAGCGATGCATTTGGGCCATTGTTTTTGGCATGGTTGGAGGCGACCCTGGCAACCACAGATCGTGCATCTGCAACAAAAGCATTGCAATTGGATTGGCTTCAGGAGGCCCATGCGCTTCACACATTGCTACCGCCAGCGCCGGCTCCGCCAGTTGCCGCCTTCCAGCCGAAAAATGAAAACAACAGTAAGTTCCGGCGCCGCGTGGCCCCAAAGAGAGCTCTGGCCAACACGGCTTCGAGCAGCTCTGAGAGGTGAGCGGGCTTGTCAACTTGCCACTGCTGAAAACGCGGCCGACAAAAGAGCTGAAAGGGCATTGGCAGCAAAGAGGCGGACCCCAATGTCTCATTTGACGGTATGTCCAGTTTGTTTTTTGCCTTCGCCAGTCGGCCTTTGACATATAGAGCCAAAGTCTGACAGGAAGGCATCTATTCTGCTTTTTCCATCAAACTAATCTGGGGCGATTCGGTGTTGTTGACTGTTGACTCGAAGCTCGGGCGGGCGGGGGAACCCGCTGTGCCAGACCGTCTCGGATGGTTCACCCGTGTCCAAACGAGTCTCGCAGGCGGAGGGGACGCCGGCACCGGTGTTGGGCAGAGGATTTGGGGAAGGAGACCTCCAGAAGTTCGAGTTCATGTACTAAATGGACATCAAGAAAATATGCCAGTGTGGATCTTCAACTCAAGCGGATTGAGAGATGTTGAGAGTTCTCAGCCAACAAGGGAGGCTAAATTATCCTTGAAGCTCTTTTCTTTCTCAACTGCTCACCATCCGATCCAACTCGAATTGAGTGTTTTCTTAATATATTGTACAGACCTAAAGACGTGCAATCGGGTGTGCACTGCGAGTGCCAACGGATGGTTCTTCTTCGTCCATTTTGATTGGATTCCTTCCTACCAACCTGGTGGCAGAATTCGTTTGAGTGCCCCAGTCAGAAGGCATTTCAAACGAACTAAGCCCCAAGACCGGATGGCCGGTCCGGTGTTGACGTTGGACGTTCTGTCCGATGCATGACAGGTCTCCACAGATGGAAGTCCTGTCACCAAGACCTCCTCCGGTGCAGGGCATAGCTTCGAGACATGATGTAAAATTGCATTTTAGGATTGAACTTGGATTTGCTTTGACCTCCAAATGAATCAAGATCATCTGCCAGTTCAGCAAGGCCAGTTATAGAGACTTATAGCTATAGAAACTATAATTAGTAGCACGAACCTGCGTCTTTCGCCCGTTGACCCGCCATCTTCGACCCGTTTTCGCCTCCGTCGCGGCCCTGTGACCCAGCCTTCGTCGCCACCTGAAGACGTTCACATTTCGGGTCGGCCCTGAGGTTGGGATGGGTCGCAATTTGGCTCGGGCCGCCTCAAGGCGCACCTTTTTGCGAGATGCGGGTGCTTGCGGATGCCAAGAGGCGGCGCAAATCCGTTCTTTTTGGGGGGGCGGTTTATATAGGTCCTGCTTGGGGCGGTAGTACAGGGCTTGGTCCTTCGTGTTGAAGCATGTTGAAGCTATTACAGCAAAGGGGGGCAGTATAATAATGATTCTCAGGTGTCCATTAGATATTCGATCAGCATGTGCTCCACGCGGTCCGCAAACTCGTTGATGCCTTCGATGCATTCGCCTGGTTTTTGGAGCCTTGCCAGATCATTTTGGATGACATGGACGTCTGCGGCCCAGTTGGATGTTTGAAGCGTGATGATCTGTGGCCGTTGGTGAGTTTCACATCAGTCTCTTAGGGGATGTTTTTGGATCCCCACCGGGGTGCTCAACATGGCACATGCAGAATTGGCTCCTGAACGGAGTAGGAGGTTTGGGATGGACATTATGTGCTAAGTGTACCGCTAATTAAGAAAGGGTCTAGAGAATCTAGAGAAAGGAAGAAATAACTAAAAAAAGAAAGGGCATAATGAAAGTTCAGACGGTCTAAGTCTAAAGAAAGACAATTAATTTTAAGACCCCCGATCCTACCACAGTCTTATAATTGTAGGAGAACATGGACCATTTTTTTGTAGACGGCTCTCAACCTACTACGTTTGGCGTTGCACACCTGGACGTCAAGAGAGATCCGTCCGCCTCCGAGGCGGATTTGCGTGACATTTGCGAAAGGATCGATGCCTGGGGGCCGAGACATGGAGAGATCTGTCGGATGCCGGGACCCGGGGTGATGTTCAATCATACACATTGAGTACTAAAGCGAGGATACCCCAATCATCCCCAACCCATCAATCCATCATGGAAGCTTCACTTGGAGCTTCCTTGACCATGTCCGAAGATGGAGTGTTGCCCAAAAACGTAATTACTTATTTACTTCAGAACATGAGCCTCCTCAAAGCTGACATCATCCGAGGATTTCTGCCAACCACTTCACCCGGTCATTCTCCCCAAATAACGGTGATGTCGATTGAAAACCCCGTCTCCGCGGAAAACCCCATCTCAGTCGGCCTCCACGTCGGGAGTGGGGTTGGAAACATCACAGTGATCTGAGACCAAGCGCCGTGGCTACTTCTCAAAGATGGAGTTAGTGGCAGCTGTGCAGAAAGATCCCGAGGCATCGCATCAATGTTCGAAGTTGCTGCGGGTGGAAGGATGCGACTCACTGACTCACTGAAGATGTTTCAGCGGCTCTGTTAGAGGCATCTCTGCTGTTTTTCAAGGCCACCCCTTTTTTTCCCCGTGCTGAATGGATTCATGACATTGAACATTGAAGTATTACGTTGCTCCATGATTTTTGAGTGTGTGGCCTTGAACTTAAGAACGCCCCTCTCTTCTCTTGAGCACGATTGCAGCACAGTCCGTGTCCCCCCAAGCGAAACACAAACACTTCATGACTCCATGCCATGCATGGAAAAGTCTACCTACATTGGACCCCGGAAACTATCTACATGGAGTGTCTTGGAGGCACACCATGTTGTTAGAAACCATTTGTCAAAGCTCTTCAAATCTCCCCCTCTAAACTCCTCCTCCGGACCGCACTTGCTCCACTGGACCCACTGGTCTCGGAGGTTGCAGCCTTTGTCCTGCCGAAGATGCAGGGCTTGCAGCTCCCAAGCTCCTCCGGTGGGGAGCGTCAGAGCGTGGGCAGTCGCAGCCGGGGCGGGCGTCCATGCAGCAGAGGTTGGGCAGGGGAGCAGCAGGCAGATTTCCACATGCGTCATATCATATGTTTAATGCATTTTAAAGTTCCAAGTCTTGTGCGGAACATGGTGAAACTGTGTGAGCCTGAGGTGCAGCCACCGATGAAGAGATCTTCGATGCAGTGATGGATATCTTTGAGCTGATTTCTCAAGGAAAGTGCGCAAGCCCAGCTGGAGGTCTTTTTTTCACAGCTTCAGTGAAACAAGAAGGTCAACAGCTACATGCCGGGCTCTGCTTGGAAAGTCGTGAAGTCAGGATCCTGGGCTGCGTTCGCCCGGGAGAGTCTGTCTCCGGCAGAGGATCTCTTGCCTTTGTCGCAGAAGATCTAAAGGAAGACATCCATAGCCATCCTATCATCCTATCATCTAAAGGAAGACAATCCATAGCCATCCATAGCTAAGATCCTTTGTTGCAGAAGACCCATGGTGACCCCTATCATGTTTGTGGGTTCTTGAGAGCGAGGGCTGTTCGATTCAACTGGAGCAACCAAGAGAGGCGGGGGGCCTGCGCCCCCAACCCCCCAACCCCCCAACGCCAGGGTCAGCATGGGCCAAAGCTGTTGAAGACTGAAGTTTCACGTTACTCTGGTGGCGCCCCAACATGATTTGCTTCCAACTTCCCCCTGCAAGTCGAAAGATCCAGTAAAACCTGGTCTAGTGTTTTTTGTATGACCCACTCCAGCAAAAATGAGATCATTGACCTACCCTGCTGCCCAACCTGCTGCCCACAGTCTGACCGCACAAACCAACAGTCTCTCCGCCCAAACCGTACGACGCTTCGATTCGCCCAGGCAGCGAATCAAATATACAGACTTAGCCGCATACTTCGCTCGAGCAGAGGAGCCCGAAACGACTCGATGAGCGGAGCGGAGAAGAGTCTTGTCGGGGCGATCCTCAGGTTCGGTGGGCAGACTCGGCGGAATGTGTCCGAGCGCTCCTAGTAGTAATGCCGTAGCTTCTTGTTCCTAGTAGTAAGGCCAGTTGCGCCCCGTTCGTAGCGTCTACTCATCTAGACTCTAGACCCCCCTCTTTACACACCCACCTAAAGCACCACCTTCGAAACGGAGGTGGTTGGAGCCTTCTTCAAGGCTTTGTAGAATCACTGTGGGCTTTCGCACAAAAGGCACCCTCAATGTGATCTCTTTTGAAGTTTCGAGCATCTGAGTCACGCCTGAGTGACCTGGATTTTGGATCACCCATCACCCCCCAAAATACTGCCTTTTCTTATCAAAACAAGGCGGATAGACATCTGTGGAGGCCCGTGCATGTCATCGCCTGAAGGATGCAGTCCGTTGCCCGTTTCCGTCGTGTCCGGATTGTTCTCAGGAGGATGACAGCCGGGAAGCGACCAGTGAGTTGTTGGAGAGCTCAGTCCCGACATCCGATGTGGGGGGGCACCTTCCCGCCCGTGTCGCGGTGGCCACTTAGGGGGACTGGTGGTTTAAAGGGAAGATGGAGACTGGTGGTTTCATGCACCAAGATGTGACTCCTTGGGGCCCCCCATAAAAATCCTGCAGAATCATCACAGGACCGTGCTTGTCTCAGCATTGCTCAAATTCTTTCAGGGCCATGGTTGTTCTTTATAATTATTATCAATTATTCACCAACAGTGCGAGAAAGACCTTGCCCATTACCATGTTGGCTGAGACTGTAGCGGTTTGTTGATTGCTGACCCTTTTCGCCGTCCGACTATTCAACCACCGCGCGCATTGTTTTTGGGAGGGACGTTTTTTTTTCAAGTTTTTTTCATTTATTTTTTTTTAAACAAGGATTCTGCTTTTGCAGCGTTTCTGCTTCTGCTGCTTTTTTGCTTTTGTTTCTTTTCTGCTTTTGCTTTTTTTCTTCTGCTGCTTTTGTTGCTTTTCTGCTTTTGTTGCTTTTCTGCTTTTTGTGTTTTTGTCTTTCGCTTTTCTGCTTTGGCAGCTTTTCTCCTTTCTCTTTTTGTTTTTGCTTTTCCATCTGTTTGCTTTCTATCTGGTGTGCTGCTGGGAGGGGCGCTGTGCCCCCCCCAACCTCCCCCGCGCCACGAAATCTGCGCTTCATATCCGACACCCGCGCCTGCCACGAAATCAATATTTTGAGGTGAACTCCCCGGGGCATAAACTTCTAACCAATCATATATGCCTCCTGTGCTGGTTCTCTTTTTTCTTTACTGTTTCTCTGCTAACATAGGACTTTCTCTGACACACTGTTCCAATGTACTTTACCAGCTACGACAGCCCCCCAAATTAGTCTAATCAGCTAGCAATTAATGTAAAACCTGCACTATTCCAATGTATTTGGCCAGCTACGACACCTGTGTCTCGGCTAAGGACACGAAATTATACGAAATTGATGTAATTAGCTGGGTACTAACAAGAAACCTGCTCTATTCCAATGACTTAGAAAAAACATCCCGAAAAAACATGAAACACATCCAAATTAAACGTGCACCTATTTTTTGTGGGTGTCTTAACGCCTTAACGCTCATCATTCCGGTGGTTTCACCACCGTCATGTCGACAAACACAGAGAACCAAACACTTGCTCAGGACCCGGATGTTTGAACTCATCGATGACCGAAGCGGCTCCATCTCCAAGTTCGCGATGTTTGAGGCGGTGAAGGCTGGGCGCCCCACGTCCGGCCCCCAAAGGAGCTGCAGGCGTTTGATGAGGGCCCAGGGAAAGCTTTTGTGGAGCTAAGGGAAGCAGAGGGCCCCGCACTTTGACCCCAACCCAATTCAGCGAACTCAGCGCCCCGTGATGTTCAATTGTGCGATGAATGTCCAAGACCTGGATGATCCAAGGGTTGGGATTCAGATGGATTCAGGATTCCTTTGCATTGAACTGAAATCATGCGCTGCTCAGTGCAATTTTCAGAGATAGGACCAGCGAGACTCCTGTTCGCCAGGCAAAGGAAGAGGTTGCCAAATTTTTGCTGCCGCAATTGGATGGTGCATGCCTCAATTGGACAGTGCAACACTGCTGGGCCAGGCGAAAAGAGAAGCACCGTGGTTGGAAAAGCAACATCAGACATGCGAAAAGAACATGCGAAAAGAACTTCCTGTCAGGCGAGCCATTTTGTTGCACATCTCAGGTGCACAGGCCATGGAGAGTGAGGAGGCGTTCAATGCGATCGACCGACTCTTTCAGGCGAACGGCGAGTTCCTGGGAGATGTTGTTTTTTTTCTTGGGAAAGATAAGAAGGTAGGTGATCATCACCCCCTCTTACCCTATCTACAAAGAAATCCGGGGGGGGGGACCTTGGCAAATTAAATATAGGAAAGGAACCGGCACCACTTCCGCGGGCGCTTGACCCAGAGAGGATCGAGGTGTTTGGCGCATGAATTAGAGGACTTCACTCGTGGCGCGGCTTCCGAAGGTTGACACCGCGCCACGGCGCCTCAAGAGCCAGGGTGCCTCCAATCGGGACATGGGAAACATCTGGCTTTTGGATGCTTTTGGGGTCTCGTGGCGCGGGTGCGGACCTTCACGTGAAAAACACCAGGTGAAAAGCATCCGAAGTCCGGTGTCACCCTCGCCCATCCCTCACCCAGCCGTGGACTTTCCCTTCGACTTCGATCGCTTCGCGCGGGCGGTCCGACCTCGCCGTCCGCGCCGTCGGTCACTTGCGACGCGTCAGAACATCGCTGGTGGAAAGAAGCGCATTGAGTTCTGCGACTTTGAGGCCTACTTCCGAGTGAAGGCCGAGTGACCGGCGGGCGGATTGGGAGGGCGGGCGGGCGGACAGTGGAGTTTTTGTGGTTGGTTTCCTTCTGGTCTAGGGTTTGCAGAAAGGGGCAGAGACGGTCGCTTGGTTCAAGTCTTGAGACGCTTGGGAGATGTTGGCATTTTGATCCACTGAAAGAACTTAAGCAAGCCAACGTTTGACCTTCCAAGCCCGGTGGTGTGTTGGACACCCCGAATCACATCTAAGAGGCTATTTATAGACACATATAGACACATTTCTCATGGATGGTCCTGGTATATCTCATCTCGTCAGATTTTTCCCCCAGAGATCCGGTACGATGAGATCTGGAGTCCAAGTCCGCGACGAGTCCCAGCTGTGGGCATCGAACCATGTGCGATTCATATGGGAGTCAATAATCCCTGTCAGTTCAACAAACATTTATGTATTTAGGTCTGTGAACCACATCAACATCCGCAACCAAAAGAAACATCCGCTTAAAAAGACACGCTCGGAAAAAAGACGCCTGTGGCTCACCAATACACTTAGCATGTATAAACGCCCGTGGAATATCAAAAACAAGTCAGACAACAAGAGAATCATCCGCAGACTCAAACATGAGGCTATGACTCCACAAGATGTTTTTCACGCCGCAGATCAAAAAAAACACTCTGAGGAAGTTCCAGGTACATATAGGGTAGTTTTTGGGAAAGTCCTTAAGTGGTAGATTTTTGGCAATCCCTCCTTTTTGTTCGATCCCTGTTCTAACTATGTTCCAACCAAAGCGGGTTCTCATCCTTTTTCCTTCCACAAGAACCTCCCCATGTTCTGGCCAACCAACCCGGTCTCCACGGTCTCCTGCGGTCTCCGAGTGTTCCTGTCGGCATCGATGCGGCAGTTCAACAGCATCCCCAAGCGCACGGCTGCCGACCGCTCGGAGACAAAGGTCTTCGTGATTGGGCCAGGCACGGCAATTGTGCGTGCATGCTTGCATGATGTTGCATGGTAAACTTATGTAAACTTGCTCACGAGGGGGTGAAGCGGGGGTGCCTACGGCCATCTATGGCCTACAGGACATTTGGTGAAATGTTGTGAGGGCTTTCTCAGACTTAGAAGCATAATTTTTGTGTTTACATAGTGGGCCACATTTCATTAGGGGGGTTGATCTGGGTCTGATCCACGAAGAGTGTTCACATGAAGAGTGCTTGCCACTTTGGTTGACTCTGCACCTGACCAGCGCTTCATAGTGTTTCGACTTGCTCCAGGTTTCGGGCAGCAACTGAATCCCCGGCAGAGTGCCATGATCACGGATGCTGGCTACCAGGCGAGCATGTCATGATGCATTTTTGCGTCCACTTTCCAAATGCACACTCTCCTTTTCCCAGCGCTTCTGGAACAGTTTTACAACTTATCAATTAGCCTTTGGCTGCTTGTCCAAGACGCGACCAGCCTTCCGTTGAATTCCGGCACCTCAAACCTTGGCCCGGAAAAATCATAGACCTCTCCGATCGTTTTGATCGATAGATCGTTCGGTATGGATTTTCAGGTGAAGTTCTTCCATGGGATCCCCAATCCGGAGAAGAGGGACTTCGACGTGACGCCCTACTTGGACCAAATCAAGGCGCCGACGGTTTTCGTCGCGTCCGCGTGGTCGTCCGGCTGGTCACGGGGGGAGCTTCGGCTCGGGGCCCGATGCGGAAGGGGAAGGGAGGACCATGGGGCAACGGCTGAATCTGCACTTTCAGGCGAGGATCTTGGCCATGATGATGCATGATGATCCCCGTTGCAGTGAAAGATGGTGGAGCATAGGCATAGAATGGCATAGGCATAGGCACATAGACCTATATACTACAGCATGTTGGAGGATTTGGGTGGGAAAGGGCTGTGGATGTATACGTGGTTGGTTGATCAGGAGTGGTTGGTCTGGGAGGTCCTCGTGGTCGCCCGGTCTTGGGCGGTCAGTGCACATCTCAACGGACCATCTACTGCCAGCTTTAGTGGTTACTGACGGTGTTCATTGTTTTTTTGTTTTTGCACGTCACACTATGTCACACTGCCCCAAAGATTCAGTCATATGTTTACCTGCACCTGCCAGCAAAATGATGCAAAATGTGACTAGTGTGGCAACTCACATCCAAGATCACCCAAGAAGTCCAGAGGCTTTACTTCGCCTTTCAAGTCCCCTAAAAGACCATTCTTTGTAAAGTTTTTGCCTTCCAGGGTACACATTGTTTGCGAATCTTAGGGTCCCGTCGTTGTGTCACTTGGACCAAGCTTCGCAGATGCAGATCGACCGATGCAGGTCGAAGCCAAGCCTGTTGGCTCCTGCGATAATCGGCTTCGTTCTCTTTTGGCTTCGTGTTACTATCGGCCGAAACGAGACCGATGGACGATGCGTTCGCTGAGTGGAAGGACTGCAGCGACGCTCAGGATGGACACTGTTTCGCTCAAACAGGGACAAGTGCTCGCAACAGCCCTGGTGAGTTTGGCTACACATCAAAGAAGAAGAGGCAAAGTTGTGCCTCAAGAGGCGGACATATCGTCATTGATCTTGGAGAAGGAAGTGCTGCTGTCATGGAGGGCTGCTCCCAAATTCAGAGTCGAAGGAAGTCGAAGGATGTATCAATTGCCAGCAATGTACCTATAAGCTCCCAGAAGCCTGTGAAGATCAACAAGAGCTTGCCAAGAAACGGTTCAACCAAAATGACAAGTCAGAGGAGCAACCAATGACTGACACTCGGTTAAACCACACATTCACTTCCAGGCTTCGTTAAACATGGTGCAGTTGCTGCACTCAATGGCTTACGTTTTCGTATTTAAAGACGAAACACGCATTTGTGTTCCGCAGATTCTCGGCTTCAGCTCAAGTTGTTGATGGGTGAGGTACACAATTGGCGCACTTGCCGGTGCGCTTTGTGCCTCACTTGTCAGCGACTACTGCTGCTCGTGTACAACGAGCGCCTGGGTGAGGAGTTCTCACGATCCTGTGTGAGTAAACTCCGAGGTGTCTATCTCGAGCTGCTCGACGAGGCGGAGGGCAGATCTCGAGAGGGTGTCGGTCGAGCGACCTACTCGACACCGGCATTTGCTGAGGGCCGTGCGGGGACTGCCACACCCACACGCGCTACAGACACCAAGGACAAGGAGGAGAGCAAGCCTAAGCCCAGCCGGCCGGAGCCGAAAGTGAAAGGTGAGCCTAGCGAGGAAGGGAAGGAAGAGTCAGCCGCCAGTGAACAGCCTGAGGAGGAGACTTCAACAGCCAGTGGACTTCGAGAGGGAGTAGTCAGGAACACTCCCGGAGACGCAGGTGCAAGGAGCCCCAGCAAGCGGAGGAGGAGATCCCGGTCCCGTCGTCGCCGTCAGAGATCGTCAGAAAAGAAGTCGGCCAGAAAAGATCGAAGCACCAGTAGAGGGAGGAGGAGGCATTCCCGTAGCCACGCCGAGGTTGAGGGAGGGCCCAAGGAAGCTCGAACAGTTGAGCGACTTCCTGAACGAAAAGGTACGGCCCGTGATCCCTCCGAGCCGGCCACCACTCCCCAGGCTGAGAGCAACCAGTCCCGTCCCCCAGTTCCAAGGCCTTCCAGGTTCGACCCAGTTGCCAGGCGAGCCGCGCCACCCCCCAGTGTCCGTGGGTCCTCCCGTGACAGGAACGAGGGAGAGAGGAAGGAGAGAGATCGAGTCCTGCCCCGTAAGAAACCCCAAGAGCCAGACCATCCTCCACCCGGATTTCGCGACAACAGTGGGTGGGTTGAGTACCAGGCCTTCCCCAAGTCCCAAGGGTCCTCGGGCTACCGCTACTGGCCAGGTGGGTATCGAGGGCGTCAACCTACCGAATCGAAAGGCAGAACAAAGCGTGAGAAGAACCTCAACTACAGGCTTTGGAGCGAGTACGACAGGCAGCAGGAGAGGAGGTGATGGCTCCCAAAGTGTTGAGAAGACCAGGGGCCCGGGTAAGGCCCCCAGCCCGTCGTCGCGGAGGAGCAGAAGAGGTATTGAGGAGGCCTGCAGTGAGAGAGGACGAGAGAGGAGTCGGAGAATTCAGTGGGATGTGGAGGACCATCCCGGAACTTACAATGGAGGAGATCGGCAACCTGGACAAGGTCGTAGTGGAGGGCCGGTATTGGGAGGCCCCATGCCTGATTGCAGGGGTCGTGTCAGGCCTGAACTTCCACGGCGGAGATCGAAAGCTGCGGATTCGTGTGACAGGCACGCAAACAGAGAGTTTGTTGAAGGCAGTTGGTGGTCGATGCAGAGACATGGAGGTTCATCTATGCGGTCAACCTTGCGAGAACCTGGTATGGAACAACGACCTGGTGCATGGAGAGCGACTGATGAGCCAAGAGGGTCCCCCAGAAGGATGGTGGAGCAACTTGGAAGAGGTGAAGGGTCGAGGCTATGGCATGGTAGACGAACTCGATCCTCCCGATCAGTTGGCCAAGTTGAGGACCGAGATGAAGCGGGTTGTCGATGGGGTGAACGCCGAGGAGTACTCCCCAGAAGGTGCAAACGCTCCCGTAGCAGAGGGAGAAAAGGAGAGGACGAAGTCGAAGAAAAAGGTCAAGAAGAAGGAGAAGGAGAAGATCAAGCCATGTTTGGAGGTGCCGCTGAAAGACATCTTCGCCCGCACGGGGGTCGATCCAGACCCGCAGACTCGGAAAGCTCTGATGCGCAAGGCCCGGAAGATCAGACGAGGCAAGAGGAGGAAGAAGGAGAGTCGCTCCCGAAGCAGAGGGAGAGGGGAGGCAGACAGCGACAGCTCTACAACGTCCTCGAGTATGGCGGAAGAGTTGATTGGGTCCAGCGAGCTATTCGAGGCAGAGAGAAGGGCGCTGCAGATTTGGAAGAGGGTCCCCGGAGCACTGAGTTGCGGTGTTCTCCAGGACATGAGACAGAGCCTGATGACAGCCGAAGGATTCCTGAGTTCCAGCAGCGAGGGAAGCCTGCCACCAGTGGCAAGTCAATACTATCGGCAACACCTACAAAGTCAGGTGGGGCCAGTGATGGGTCGAGAGATGCAGCATTGGTGCCTTGTGGTCGACCTGATGCTCAGAGGAAGGCCCGCTGCAGCGCTCGACGTTGCATCGCAGCGGATCAAGAGCTTGGAGCAGATCGCAAGGGGCGTTCAGAGCGACATCGCACGGAGGCTCGAGTTGGTCGGCCCCGAGAAGGCGTCGCTGGTTACAACACACGAGGCATCGGAGGCTGGCAAGGAGGTGTGGCAGGAGGAGCGTGTACACCTTCGAAACTCCCGAGGCAGAGCGTGGGAGTGGCAGAGCGACAGGGACTGGTCAAAAGGAGGCAAAGGAAAGGACAGGGACAAAGGCCGTCGAGACAAAGGCAAGTCAGAAGGCAAAGGAAAGAACGACAGGGACAAAGGAAGAGGAAAAGGGAAGAGAGAGGAGGAGAAAGAGAAGTAGCTGGCATTGAGAGGCATGAAGAGGCTGACAGAGGTGACTTCGTAGAGAGCAGAAAGGGAGAAGAGGAGGAGCCTTGTGGCAGAGGCTTTTCTTCAACAGGAGAGGAGAGCAAGGGCCGACCCTTGGAAGAGAGAAGTGTGCATGGTAAGCCCTCCCAGCTAGAGGGAGGCAACGACAGAGGAGTATTTGGGCCAGATGCGCCCTTGAGCAAGGCTGCACAGAGCTCCGCCCGGGGGGGCAGAGGACAAAGGAGTTCTGGAACCTCGAATTTTAGAGGGAGGGGAGCGGGCCGCCCCGAATCCTCCCGAATGGAGACGTGAGTCAGAGGTCGCAAGCAGCCGTGTTTCACCTAGTACAATGCTTCAGGCCATGAATGCGGCACGGGTCCTTATGGAGAAACTCGATGAGGAGCGCACGCAGTCCACGGCAATGGAAGTTGAATATTCAGTTCATGATAGTATTTTCCCTCTTCCATTGCCCCGTTGCCGCAATGAAGGGTCTAGCAAGGCATATGAGCAGATGGTATTTGGCCTCAATCACTTGGCCACCGGACATGGGCAAGGGGCAGCTCCGTCCCGTTGCCCTGAGGGACTGACGGAAAACCTTAGCATGCTGTGCGAGAGATTTGATGTTTGGGAACGGACCATTGACCCGGTGGACTTTGAGTCGTTCTTCAAGAAAAGGGGGGTAACCTATGCGGGGGAAGAGATTCGGCTTGCTCAGACGTTGTGTTGGGAGGCGGTTCGCAATTCACTTCCTGAACAGGTTGGTCAGCTTAGGTTGGTCGACTTTTGCACGGAAGGTACCCTGCACTACGTTAGGCGGTTGGAGGACTTCCTGATCCCTGTGGACACCATGGTTCGGGTTCGACCCCCCAAAAGTTATGGTAGGAGACGACTGGCCTGCGCTCAGCAGAGGCTTGGTGGATCGTGGAATTTGCGAAGTATGGCCGGTGGAGAAGCTCTACCACATTGATCAGGAGCCTTTACTGAACGGATTATTTGCTGTTGGAAAGGGAGAATTTGTGGGCCCCCCTGGAAACCCAGCGTCTAATCATGAACCTGATACCATTCAATAAACTGTGTGAACCTTTGGTGGGAGAAGTTTGCACGCTCCCGTCCATCGCTTCCTTCCAGAGCTTCTTATTAGATGAGGGGGGAGGTAGCAGTGATGAGTGCTGAGGATATACGTTGCTTCTTCTATTTATTTCAGGTACCAGTGGAATGGAAAAGGTTCCTAGGGTTCAACAGAGAGGTTGAGGAGGACTTGATCCCCAAACAGTGGAAGGGCAAACGCTGTGTCTTGGTCTCGAGGGTATTACCTATGGGTTTCATCAACAGCGTATCTATAGCACAACATATTCACCGGAACGTGGTGAAGTGGAGCCAGCAATCTTGCCCTCATGGTCTGGGGGCAGAGACAGAGATGAGGCGTGACAGAGTAGGTTCTTCATCATCGTCCTTATTTCGTGTCTACCTTGACAATTTTGACTTGCTGGAACGCCAAAGTAAAGAGCAGGCGGAGCTGATCAGGGGAACGGTGTCTCAAGCAGTGCAAGCTTTGAGGGAGGAGTACTCCCGTTTAGGACTACCGCGCCACCCCAAGAAGTCAACTGAGCGTGTCTTCAAGGCGGAGATACAAGGGGCCATAGTAGATGGAGAGCTAGGCTTTGCCATGCCACGTCCGGAGAAGGTGCTCCTCTATGTATCCCTGGGTCTCTGTCTTGTTCAGCGAAGGCATTGCACCTTGAAGGAGTTGCAGGTAGTGTGCGGTGGTTTCGTGTACTTCTGCATGTTCCGCCGTCCTTTGTTGTGCGCGCTCAATGAGGTTTGGAGGTTCATGGTGCGCCTGAAGCGCCTGCCGCCCGTCGTACGTATGCCGTTGCCCAAGCAGGTCATGAGGGAGCTATTGAGATTCATCCTTTTGTGTCCATTGGCGCAGATGAGCTTCAAATTACCATTGGGGGGAACATGTCACCTGCAGTGATGCATCAACTTCAGGAGGCGGCTTCTGTGTGAGTGAGGGGCTCACGGGTTACGGCATGGCAGCGTTGGATGCGGAGGTGAGAGGTGACATCCCAGAAGAAATCCAGACTGTGCAGGTGTTGACAGTAGGGTTGTTTGATGGGCTAGGGGCTCTTCGCTTGGCTGTCGATGCGCTCGGGATCCCGGTTGCTGGGCACTTGAGTGTGGAGAAAGAGGAAACAGCAAGGCGTGTTGTAGAGTCCTACTTCCCGGACGCCATATTTCATGATGATGTCCAGACGGTAGACGGGCCCTTGGTACGAGATCTCAGCCTTCGCTACCCTTCCGTTGGCCTAGTGCTCATAGGTGCTGGACCCCCATGTCAAGGGGTTAGTGGGCTTAACGCGGGTCGAAAGGGAGCGTTGCTAGACGCACGCAGCAGCCTGTTCCAAGAAGTGCCTCGGATCAAGACCTTGTTTGAGGAGTACTTCCCTTGGGCTCAAGTTCACCTTCTCATGGAATCAGTTGCATCGATGTCGGAGCAGGACAGGGAGATCATGAGCCGTACAGTGGAGTTGCAACCCTACTTCATTGATTGTGCCAGCATTACACTCTGTCATCGGCCGCGCCTATACTGGGTCTCCTGGGAACTGTGTTCAGATGAGGGAGTGAAGGTGACTACTCCCGTGGAGGCTTCTTGGGGCGACACAGGGACGGTGGAGTTGAACGCCACGGTCCATGATGATGCGTTGCTTGAGCGTGGCTGGTCGTTGCGTGCCGGGTGCAAGTTTCCTACGTTCACGACCTCTCGGCCATGAGCAAGTCCAGGTCGCCGCCCTGCAGGTCTAGGCAGGTGTGAAGAGCATGAGAAGGCACGCTGGGTTGCTGATCAACATCGGTTCCCACCTTACCAGTATCGTGACCACCAGCTCTTGTGGAACAAGAAAGGCTCAGGCAGGTTACCAAACATTTCTGAGCGTGAGGCCTGTATGGGCATACCCGTAGGCTATACCCGACCATGCGTTTGCAAGCAACACCAAAAGGGAGACAGCTGGAACGACATTCGGTTAACCTTGGTGGGCAACTCCTGGCAGGTAGGAGTCATTGCGTGGTTGGTATACCAACTTGCTTACAAGCTTGGTCTCTGCAGGCCCCGGGTGCTCCAGGACATCGTGAACGCACTCACACCTGGGCGCGGTGAGCACTTGCAAGCTTTGCTGATTCGCCCACCCCTAGGGGTGCACGGACGCCTGGTCGCTGCCTTGGAGGGTCCATTGTTGCGTAAGTTGCTTGGGCTTGTGTCGGTCAAAGGTGAAGACTTGATGGTCCAAAGCGCCAGTGAGCCCCAGGTGAAGTTTCATAGGTTGCGCACGAGCGTGCCGGCCAAACTATGGAGGTGGCGTGAAGTTGCAGGATGGGCTTGGAAGCGTTCAGGTGAGCACATCAATATCCTTGAGATGCGTGCCGTGTTGACTACCTTGCGATGGTTGGTTCAGCGCAGACGCTTGAGTGGGTGTCGAATCTTGCACTTGATCGACAGCTTGGTGTGCTTACATGCATTGTCGCGTGGCCGTTCCTCTAGTCAGAAGCTTCGTTCAGTTTTGGTTAAGGTCAATTCTTTGCTCCTCGCTGCGGACCTTCACCCCTGTTGGGGGTATGTGCATACCAGCCAAAACCCTGCCGACCGGCCTAGCCGGCGGCCTCGAAAGAAGAAATGGGGAAAGTGAATGTGCATTTAGAAGGCCGCAGTAAAGAGGAGAGAGCGAAGCAAAGACAAACTTTAGGAACGTTGAAGCAACTAGCCATACAACCCAAGACACGCAAGCGGTACCAGGCCGCACGTGAGAAGTTCTACGCCTACCTCCAGACCAACCAGCTAGAACTCCCTCGTAGCATTCCCGCTTTTGACGACTTGTTGTCAGACTATGTGGAACACTTGTGGGCATCCGGCGAAGGACGAGCTCTCGCGAGTGATAGCGTTGCTGCCATGCAAGACGTTGAGCCTCGAGTGAAGGGGAAGCTTCAGGGGACCTGGCGCTTGTTGAAGACATGGCACACTAACGAGGTGCCCAACCGAGCGCCTCCACTGCCTGAGACAGTCCTTGAGGCCATGTTAGGATGGTGCCTTTTCCATGAGCACTACGCGTTTGGTCTTTCGTTGATGTTAGGGTTCTATGGTCTTCTCCGGACTGGGGAGCTCCTATCCATATGTAACCATCACATCTTCATGACTGCGCCCAACAAGCCTGCGGTGATTTCTTAAATTTGGGTTTGACCAAGGGGGGCAAACGAGCTGGTGCCGCTGAAAGCATCACGGTGACAGTGACACCTGTCCTTGCTTGGCTTTGGGCTTGGAAGAAGTCGTCGAGCTCACACAGCCCGCTAACCCCTCCTCCACACCAGTGGCGGTCCAGATTCAGTGAATGCCTCTCTGCATTGTCGTTGAATGACATGGGCTTTCGCCCTTACTCGCTACGGCGAGGGGGGGGCCACATTTTGGTTTGGTAAACACGGATCATTGGATAAAATCCTGATCCAGGGGCGTTGGGCAGCCGCCCGCACAGCAAGAATCTACCTCAACGAGGGTCTTTCCGTTTTAGCCCAGCTTACTCTGCCTAAGAAGGCCTTGCTACCGTTTTCACGCCTGTTTCACTCCCTTAAACTTCATGACCTTCCTCGAATGCTTGAGCGTACTAAAGCAGGTAAGGGAGACGTGGAAGGGGGACCAGGGGTTGAATTTTTTCGAAGCGGAGACTGTGAGTATGTACTGTGTCAGAGAAAGACGTATTGGTACCTGGGCCCACGCTTTCCGGTGTTTGCGGGAGGTTTGGGGGGGTACGAGGGGTGCTGCTTCCTTCGTGGTCTGGCCGAAGGGGGTGGTGCTGTGCCTCTGAGGTTTTGGTCAAGTGGTTGAAGAACGTCTTTCTCCCCTTCCTGATTTTCTTTCAATTTTGACACAACCCTGCATGCGCGGAAAAACTTGCGAGTTGAGTCTTTACATATAGACATTGCTCCCCGCCATATCAGCTTGCGTGCCCACCTTCTGCAGTCACATCCAATTCTTACATCGCACATACGGAGCTGCTCATAGCCTTTTCCTCGCGCATGGCCTGCTGTCACAGTGTATTCCATCGCTGCTGTCACGGCGCTGCCAGAAACGGAAACGGAAGCTGCCGACCGTTTGCTCCCAGAAATGATGCCGTTCGGTCGGGATGGCGAAGACTTACGTATTGGACGACACCGAACGACAACGGATCTTCCGCTCTTCCATCTCTTCCGCGCTTCTTTTCCTTTCGGCTTTGTTTGGGTTCTGCCACATGCTGCTCCATTTGCTGCGGCAGCAGATGGAGCAGCATGAAACCGAAACAAATTGGACGATGGCCATGCGGGAGATTTGGTGTTGTCACTCAACCCCCCCAAGAGCTAGCGTTTCTGTGGTCCAGGCCGTAGTTCATGGACTCAATACTTCAGTGGTGTTGATAAGAAGAGCGGATGGACATGGAAGAAACCATCTGGATTTTGCAACATCGTAGAGAATGTGTTGTCACATTTTGCCACCTTTTTTATCTGAGACAACCACAGTTTTTTCGTCATATCAAATCAGCGTATTCTGCAGAAATGGCCAGCGCAGAGTTGGAAGATCCAAGCCATTCTACTTCCCTGCCTCACCAGGAAGGCATCGATGCTTTTGAGCCTCATGTGGTGGCAGCGGCCTCGAAGGGAGGCGCGGAGAAGTGACCAACATAGAGGCCAAAGGTGTGACAGTTTCACATGCCAACATAGAGACTCGTAGACTCAATTGATGAATCAAACTTCTCAAATTTAGATGACAGATGAAAGAGACACCTTCCAATCCAAGTAGTCATCAAGAGTCTACGTTTTTGCCTTGACATGCCCGACATTTTGTGGCATTGTGGGTGGCAGTACATATTAATTCAGTACTTGTCTACAGAGATTTGCTAAATGTCCATTCGGTCTGTCTCTCTCTCTCTCTCTCTCTCGCTCATAAATCCCAGGGCACACGCAAGAATTGGATCTTGCCTTTCTTTGTTGTTGGTATACCATGTTAGCAGTCATGTTAGCCTTTTTCGGAGACCGGACCGCTTGACGGCAGGAATCTACTTGCTGGGTCTGTGGGAGGCAAACCGGATCATACGGCCTGGGCTGCATGCCATGGGTTGGAGTCGTGTTGAATACGACTGGTCGACCGCTTCACGACCGACACGTGTCGGTCAGATGCCGGCTTGGCCAAGCTCGAACCTTTCCGGGACCTTTTCTTCCCCAGGAATCACAAGACGGGGTGCCTATTGGAGGATAGGGGTGCCCATTATCCACTCACTTAGGGACTAAAAACCACCCCTTTGTGACTTGTGGCCATGAGTCCCTCATCACTGTCGAACATCAACTTGATATTTTTTGAAGGTGGAGGCTGGGGCTTCGCATGGATAGACTCGGATAGACTTGCGCTCTTTGGAAGCTCTTTGCTGGTTTTTTGAATTAAATTGCTTTTTTCTTTTGATTTCTTGCAGACCTCTGTAGACTATCCCACCATATCCCACCCATGTTTAGCCATTCTTCATTTGTTTAAAGCCTCCGAGTCCTCCAGATTGACGGTTTGTTTGGAAGATAGGCTCCGTGCAATCTTATTGAAGTAAACATCACTGGTCTGATCGTTCTCCGTCCTCATTCAATGGGGTGTGTTTTCGCCAAATCCATTGGCGATCCAATGGAGTTGTCACATGTTCAGCCTGAGGTGAGATGAATGGGGCAAGATTCAGATTGCATTTGCGTATATGTTAAAAAATGCAATGTGAATCTCCGAAGAAACTTATATTTTTTTCCAACTGCTGTAGCCTCTTAGCAGAGGACCTCACCGTCAATCCTCATACAGTGAACAAGCTGGTCTTCAGAATCATCAGTCCCTCGACAATTGTAGAAGTTTGGGATCCCAACGCTTTTCATTTGGAAGTTGCGCCCGTGAAGACACAAATCCCCCTAAACACAAAGCCAACATGCCGCGCACTCACTCCCGCTGGGTCGCAGTCGCTCCAGGAGGGCTTCTGGCGGGGACCCAGCCTGCTGCTGAACGGTCATCCTCGCTGTAAAGAGTTGCCAGAGGCGAAAGTTCTGAAGGGAGGGAGAGTGTGATCCCTACAAGGAGCTTCGAAGCTGCTAGTAACCTCCTGATCCCTACATCAGTGCAGTCTGACCAGTCGGTCCAGTCTGGTCCGTTCCTGACCTCCTTGAGTAGTGGTTTTGTATGCCCAACTCCAATTCATTCACGAGGTCAGGCAACCTGACCTGTAGGGATGTGTTTGGTCTAGAGGTTCAGAAAGCTCGAAGGGCTTGCAGAGTTTGGAAACGGAAGTTTCACGGATTTCTTCCTGTTCAACCACTGAAACAACTCATTTCGGATGGTTGCCTTTGTTGCATTGTGCTTCAGCTTCTTGAACGCCCCAAGTTGGCATTTGTGTGTGCTTTCAGGGATAATGATGTTTTCAATATCCAGAAACAAGATGCAATGTTCTCCTGTTTCTTCTGACTTTCAGTAGCTGGAGTGACATAATGAATAATGATGTACATCATGGACTATGTGACAACGCGACAACGCGTAGCTAAGCCTGTGCAAATATGACTGTTGTTTCTGTCTTTTTGTTTCAACCGTCAGTCAGGGTGTGCCAGTGGTGGTGGCGCATGGCAGCAACGATGAGGACTTGCACTCAGAGGAAAAAAGCCTGGATCTTCCAACAGACTGCAGAATTTCTGCCTTTTCATAGATAAAAGTTAGGCAGACATGTTGTCATTGGATTTCCAACATGATCGTCTTTTTAGCCTCAAGATGATGTTTCGGCCGTGAATTTGGTGGTTCCACCGGCCTGTGGTTCCCTCATTTTTTCGGCACCGGAGGATGAGAGAACGCCTCAATCCCCCAACAAGAGTCCTTCAAGACAGGCAAGGGATCAAACAACTTCATTGATTCTTGTCAATTGTGTTCTTTCCATTGCCAATATTCGAAGCTTGAAAAAGAGTGAAAAGGAGTGAAACTGCTGCTTGAAAAAGAGTGAAGAGGAGTGTTTCACTGCTGTCTCCATTCACTTACACTCCCAATCATGGTTACGTTGATGGCACGAGGGGCGTGGGATGACCATGAAATCCTCTAGAAGCAGGTGGTTTTCACTCCACTTCCGTGCTTATTTCAGAGTCTCAGAGCGTGTGAGAGTCTCCATTCGACCGAGATCGGACATTGATCAAGAGTCTAAATGACTCATCCTCTGAAGGATGTGAAACTGCCTGGGGTTCCAGTCCTTCCTTCTCAGAAGCTATAGACTATCCAAGCGCACCCCAAACCAACCGAACCAAAACAGAGATCTTAGAGGTAGAGACTGTAGATCGAACACCCGGATCCAGATTTGGCTCATTTCTCGTTTAGAATTCGTTGGAAATCTTGGATTCGCGAACAAACTTCTCGGCGCCGGGACGATGAAAAAAGATTTCCGAAGGGGAGATCCTGCTGATGGAGCTTCATTTCGGATCCATTTGGATTGCAGCACTTCTTGACAATGACTGTAATTGTGTGTGTTCTTTGCTCAAATAAATGAATCTCAAGAGTCAAGACTTTGTCAACACTACTTTTACCTATTTCAAAACAACTGCTGCGCGTCGACCTTCGCCGCGCGACCTTCACCTGAGGTCTATCCCACACCACGGGAGCAGCTCGAGAAGTTGATCGCCACCGGCACGGAGAACATGTGCTTCCTGTGAGCCGATGTGACGTTATCAGGTCTACAGGTCAGGGCGGTTCGGGAAAGGTTTCGGTTTCATCGCCTAACCACAAGGCTTCATATGGTTTCATATGGTTCATCATGTTAACATCCAAACATGTAACAAATGCATAAAGAAAGAATATGAGAAGCTTGTCCCCATACACAAGTGCAGCTGGTTTGGTCACACCTGGTTCCATGGTGAAGGGTTTTATGCTCTTTCTTTACGTGGTTTGATAGATTCCAGCAAGTACAACTACAAGCAACTCCAAGCTCAGCCGCGCTTCCACCTCCATGGAACCACACCAGGTATCACACCGCAGACAGCGGGAGATTGCCCACGCAGCACTTAACCCGCAAGGGCGATAAGCACAACATGGAGTGCTCTGCCTCAGCTGTTTCGGTAATACCTCCGGTGTCGATGGCCGTCACTGGACCTTCCGGAAACAGATCCATCCGCCTTTACGTCGGAAGAACAGAAGAGTAACAGCACAGTTCCAAAGAGCTTCCGAAGCTTACATGGACCATTGCAATGTGTATAGTGTTCCTTTGAAAAAACAAGCGTTTCCATCTTCGCCGCTCGACGAGTAACTTCAACTCACCGTCGCCCGCATTGCCCCCGCATTGCCCCCGCATTGCGTTGCCCCAGCAACGTGGGGGGCGGTGCCCTACTAGTAGCTTCTTGCTCCGTTCGTAGCGATGGGCTCCAACCTACTTGCGATGGCCTCCACCGAGCATATACTGTAGCGTCATTGCTACGTTCGTAGCTTCTTGTTACATGGTAGCAATGCCAGTTCGCTGCCTCCGAGGTCCCTCTTGGTCCGGGACACGTTGCCACGGCTCGTGGACGCCACCTTGGATCCTGCAGGACCAGAGGCTGGTCCCGATGGGCCGACGGGACCATCCGGAGGCTCGTGACCCACATCGAAAGCCCGGTTGATGCAGCCAATGTAGATACCCTAATCCCAAAACCCTAGCCCTTAAACCCTAGCCTTCAAACCCTAACCTTCATTCCAGTCCGGTCTGGGAGTGGAAATTGGGAGATGAAATCTGACACGACGAATCCACTGAAAACGATCGGAGCCTGAACATCTGGAAAACCAGTCGGACAGTCGGACACCAGTCGTGCCATTCGACCCGGGTGTCTTCGGGAGTGATGATATCAACCACCCCAACTGATCGGTACTCATATGCCAGTCCCAAAAGGGGTCTCTATATGGGGTCGGTCTCCGGTTTGTTGGGGGGGTCGGTCTCCATACCGTTTCCCTCCAGACCTCGGTACCGAACTTTAACCGGCGGTTCAGGGCGTCGGTTCCAACAGGATCTTCCGGCGAAAAGTCTGATGAACCTAAGAGAGATGGGCTCCAACCTATGAGTTAGCTTCACAGATCAGTTCCATCGAGTTCGGTGCCGAACTTGGCGGAGGAAGTCGGGGTGACCCTGTCACATACACTCACCGGATGGGACCTAAAACTATTTCTTTTAGAGCTGCTGGGAGTTATTGAATTTAATCATCCAACGACATGCAGAGTTTCTGCAGTTTCATCTATAGAAACCAGCCAAGTTAGGCAGACATGGTTGCACAGTTGGAAAATCTCTATAAAATAGGTATGTGCAGGAACGTAGCAAGTTGGTTCGTTTGTGCCAGGTATTGTATAACACAGATTGCAGCAGCAACTGACATTTTGTATGTTCCTTATCCCTTTCCCCTTGATTCAACATGTATGTTCACTATAGGCGAATACTTTGAATAGTCCTCAATTTTGGAATCCCAATCCACTTGGATGGAAGAGAGTAAAGGTCACTGGCTCACGAGATTGCTCGGGCATTGTATCCCGGACCGACCCCCAATCTTTGAAGCGCCTTCATTTGCAGCTATGCCAATTCTTCTCAGCCAATACGGGTAATGACATCGATATGTTTGCTGACTCGTCAATCGACTGAGTCCGGTCCGAGACCTTTGCTCCTCATCCCACGAAAGCATCAATCCTATTCAATCAAACTGGTTTTGCTCAAGGTGATTGTTTATTTTTCCCATGGGTTAAATCCCCTTATGGCAAACATGTTTTTTTTTTACAGGTTCCTTAAGCAAATCCAAGTCCTCATCGGTCTGACATCAATCCGCCTCAAGAACCCCCTCCTTCCAAGCCCAAACCTTGCAGCAACCTCTTGAACCCTCCAAAAGCCTAGAGCTTGACGGTTAACGCACCCAATTCGTAAAAAGACGAGCCATTCAAAACAAACACCGGAGCCACCTGGTTCCGGAAACTATCTTGCAGCCTCCCCGGCCCAATCCCGTTGGCTCCGGGGAGGCGCACATGATTCGCACCTGGCGCGAACGGATCTCGGAGGAGCGCTCCGAGGCCGAGGCTTGGCTAGGCGCGGGTGGTGGACCGGCATCAGAAACGCCGGTTCCTGCGCGGAAGAGGGAGAAGAGAGGGGATGTTTGCTTCTTGGAGTCTCAGTCTTTGTTTGGAGCAGATTATATGAGACAGATTCCGCCTTTTTCTGAAAGTTCATGACCTTTTTGGGGGGCCCTGAAGTGACTTCTTACAGGCCTTTTTGCGAGCTCCAACCAGGATATCATGCAAATATTAGGTCATTTGAACACATGTCATGTATACGAACCATACTAATAAGCTTGAAGGGGAATCGCGGTGACGGCGATGGCATCCGGTATGAGTGTCAGCACGCTTGTCGATCTCAGATCTGCACCTCGTGACCGGGGACGGGGGAGGTCACAAGCCTGAAGCTCTACGGAAGCGGTGGGTCAGGGCCTGAGGTGTTCAACCTACTAGCAATATGGCCTCCAACCTAAGAGCGATGGCATCCAACCTACTAGCAACCCAATGGCCTCCGATGGCCTCCAACCTACTAGGGATGGCCTCCAACCTAACAGCGACGGCCTCCAACCTGGTAGCAGCCAGGGGCCGAGTTGGGGGAAGCCTCGTTTGGCTGCTGCTGAACTTCTAAACATGGCGAACTCGCTGTTGCGATGGTCGGTGATTCGTAGGTTGAAACGAAGGTTTCGGTGGTTGGTTACAATTACAAGGATCCCATTCAGGACGTGTAGCCTGGATTTTCGTGGTTGGTTTGCAGATTGCAAGATATTTAATCATGATATATGCCATGATCACAAGACCAATATTGTCACTTCGCCGAAGATTCTGATATCAGCAGTTCCAAAGGAACGGTGTTTAGTCCCATCCAGTGAGTGGATGTGACAAGGGCATCCTTCCGCTAATAGAACTTCTATGAACTTCTGGTAGATAGTTCATGAATTCTATCCATGGACGATCTTCTAAACAGCGGAACAAGAGTTGCCAGATTTAGATTCGCAGGAGACCAGACGGGACATCCCTGAAAATATTAGCGGGAAGCATGTTTTTCACTGACCTTCATGCGGTCCCGCTACGCTGCGGAACGTCAGGAGAGCAAAGGCATGGATGAGCAGAAGCTCTACCAGGTGAGTGTCGCACTGGATCCTTCCATGCTTCATGTTCTATATGGTTGCTACAAGGCCCCAGGCCTGGGCCAAATCTTCCATGATGTGAAACATAGTGAAACCGTGTGTGCAAGTCACTCGTTTTGCAGGCTGTGCTCAATATGTTATATAATGAACCACTCCCTGCACCAAATATCTGAACAGAACTGAACACTCTTGGGAGATGAAAGGCACACCTTCAGGGGCCCCTGACGATTCAAAAGTAGGACGGGCTCACACCTGAAGATGCATCTCTTCCAAACCCAGTGATGCAAACCCAGTGGAGTTTTCCACTTCATGTTCTTTCCGACCTCAAGACCCACGCCGATGAGAACCAGGTGACACGTGGCAGCGAGGAATGGGCCATCATCGAGACCATGTTCTGGGCGGAGCCCAAGGCCGGGACGGCGCTCCTTTTCCCATGCCCGTGCCGTGCCTGGGAAGACACAAAAGCCCAAGGCCAGTGTTTCCCACCCGAAATGTCATGTTTCAGCGGAGTTTGGCTGGTTCAAGGGTGTATGGAGGTGGGTTTCGTCCACTGCAGGAGTTCCGCCGATATCGGAGATGTTCAGTCGAGCCCTCCGTTCATGGAATCGTGGTCCTACTTCTTCCGACGAAAGACTTTCGAGGTGTCTTTGGATCCGAACTGCTTGGAGATCTAGCGTGTGCACACGCCATCTTTTTGTTTGTTGATGGTGTTTCTCCCGAGCAGTGCTGGAGCGTTCTTTTGCTTGTGTCATACTGTGCCATACGTCTTCAAGCAGGAGTACCCAAATACTTCTAGGCCACACAACCCAAGATATTAAGGATCGACTCATGTGTTTCTTTCAAACCAAGGCACAAGAAAGTATAAGTTGCTGCAATATAATTATAAGTCATGCACATCAAGCTAGGGTTCAGATTTTTTGACCAAACATTTGTTCAGACAAGTTCAATAAACGGATGTTTTCTGATTTCTTCATACTGTTCATAATTGTTCATAGAGGAATTGGTCTCAGTACAATAACATAATTGTGTTCATGAACACCCTAGAAGATCCAGTTCGCCGAAGACTTGGGCACCCAAGTCTTCAGGAACCCTCTTTCGGATCACCTAAGTTCGTTTGAAGACTGGACTCCCAGGGGAGACGAGTGACCTTAACTCGACCTCGCCGAACCGTACACGACGTTAAACCCACGTCGCAGCCACGTCGCAGGAGACGCCGGTATATGGGGTAAAGGCCGCGAGTGGCGTGGATCGCCGCGGGGTGTTAGGGATCATGTTAGGGATCCATGATCCAGTTTTTGGTTTCAGAAACTGGCGGGAAGAGTCCATTCCTTTTGCTCATTTGCACCGGCCAGGTCCGACCTTTCATTCACATGTGCAACATACAATTCAATGTAGTTTCCCATGATTAAACAAGGAACTCAGATTCAAGCCCTCGGAATAGTTAAACTGTGGGACATATTCCAGCATAGGCACTCATAGGTTTTGACATGTTTTGATAGGAAGTTGACTCTCAAGAAATGGCTTGGGGGTTATCTTCAACAGCTTTGTTCCGTAAAGAAGCAGAACAACATGCAACCGCCATTCCAGGCTGGACATTTAGGAGGACCATCGTTGGAGAATCTGGAATCTGGAAGCGCGTGGAATCGAGATCGTACCAGTCGATCTCCGATCCATCGGTCCGGGCACCCGATCCTTGTGTGACCTGGGACGAAGAGCAACGTGGACCATGGCTGCCCAGATCCTTCAAATCGCTCCTGTTGAGCGGCTATGGTCCACGTAGCTTCTTGTGACGTAATGCCAGGAGCTAGCTGCGTAGCGTCCGATCGCTCCGTAGCACGCCGCGACCGCCCGGTCTTCCGAACGTAGCTTCTGAGTTGATGTCGGGATGTCACGCGTCCAACGATCGAGAGCCGTGCCGGCACGCCGCGACGGAGTCGTTCCGCAACGCCACAGGGCAATTGGGAGAAAGTGTGCCATCCTCAGTGGGTTCGGTCGTGGGCGAAGCATGGCGAAGCACCAGAAGCCCATCTCCGTCTCATCTCGGGCCTTTTGGGTGACGAGGGTGTTTCGGTGTGGCCAACATCCAGGTTGGCTTTGGTTGCTTTCTCTGCAGCATGTGTTTTTCTCAAGGCAAATCTCCAACATCCAGCGTGTGGAGAATCTGCCACAATTGGATGGTTGTGCCAAGCCGTGCGCCGAGTGGCCGGAGGTGAGAAGATCCGAGAGGAAGAGAGGGGATGAAAGATCGAGGACGAATTGGTTTCCCCACCAAACAAGAGCAGGTGCAAAAAGGATGAAGAAGTTTGCTCTCTGACTCACTCACATGGAAGTGGAACAATTGCAGATCCGTAGAGTCTCAACTTTTTGGTCCAAGGGCCGCGCACTGTTAATTCCACAAGGCTGGTGAGTCAGAACATGAATATTCGACATCTTCCTTCCAAGGTGTGTGTTTTCCCTATAAGAACCAAGGACCCGACCCGTTCGGTGAAGGTTTGGTTCGGGTCTAAACCCCTGCGGAACCTGCAGGGTCCCCCTCCAGTTCGGGTCCAAAGCAGAAGTTTGGACCCGAACCAAGCCTTCACCGAACGGGTCGGGTCCTTGGTTCGACTCAGGAGTCGGACCCTCGAAACCTTCACACGCTGCAGATCGCAGACGTCCGCTGGGACGGTCAAAGAAACGACATGGACTTTGGCCGTGCAATACCCAGACGCGACCCATGGGACTGCCATGCCGATCAGTTGGGCTGGTTGATTTGGGGGGTCAATGGATGTATTCCATACTATGGAGTGTATGGGATAGATCATTTCCAGTCCCATGCTTCGTTGTGTCCCATGCTTCGTTGACAATGCCCCGCCAACTGCGTCGGGCAACGATGGTTTTGTGCTTCGCAGGTACTTTGAGTCCCTCGCGCGCAACATCGAAGCCCAGGTCGTTGGTCGATGGATGTCGACTTTTCTTGAACTCGACAAACCTCGCCAGTGGAGCCACGCGGGTTCAGTGGTGGATCAATAGCCACGATGGAAACGAGTTTGGATGGAAACAATTTGGAAGTGTAAGGTGGTACAAGATTGGCTTTTGGGGAAGTTTGGGCAAGCAAATATGAGCAGATGTTGCACAAAACGGCATGTCATTTTGGAGCAGCACCGAGCTGGGTGCATTTGCCTTGCTTGTGTCAAAGCACGGACTCCGGTCACACCCTCCACTTGAGTGAATTCATCCACCTATCAGAGGTTCGCGTGGAAAAGACTTGGAGCTTGAAGGTGGAAGCCTGTTGCGAAGCATTCCGTGACTTGCGCGTAGGGTCTGTTGACTTCGGCGTAGGAGTCCAAGATCGAACCTAGTATACAGACAGGACGAGTTGGGGAAGATTTCTTCTCCCCGGTGCACAGTTTTTAAAGGACATCTCGTTCATCCGGTCTTTTTTCGACCAACAACAAAATGGCCCCAACGACTGGGTCACCTTGGCTTTCTGCCAGCGGTTTCTCGCCCGTCTTCAGTCCCGTCTTCAGGGCGTGGAATTTCATCCCGAGCTGCACACGTGGGTGGCGCTCAGATGAAGCACGTGGGCGAAAATATGGTGTGCACGGGCAAGAACTGGTCACGCTGGTCACCCAGCACTCCAGAAGCCCAAATTCACGGTCCGTTTTGGTTTCAGCTTTTGCCGCACACTCCAGCACGTCCGGACTCGGGAGCCATGCTTCCGGGCATCGCCCCCACCTGGGCACCGAGAGACCGGTCAAAAGGGGTGAAGATACGTTGGAAACTCTCAACCCAGACGCCCAGACCTCCGGTGTTGTCAGAAGATCGGTCGCTTTTTCTCCTACTTGGGATCATTGGAACCATCTTACGCGGCGAAAAAGCTCCGTTCGTAGCTTCTTTGCTCCTAGTAGTAAGGCCAGGAGCCCCTAGTAGCGTCCTTGCTCCTAGTAGCCACCTGACAAATATTTTTCTGAGAACCAACGAAGGGCCGCTCCATCCCCACCCTTTCACGTGAGGTCCACCACTCCACAGCTCGCATCCGCCCGCCACTCAGGTCTTGGGCCTTTCACGGTGGCTTGAGCGAGAACCTGGAGTTCGGGGCACCTGCTCGCCGTTGTTGAGGTGATTTTTGGATACGGCATGCGCGACGGGTGAAAACAGGGCCCGGCGAGGGTAGTGAGGTGTTTGATGTATCTTTTCTGAGAGACGTGGGTCCGTTGATGGATTAAGGATTAGGATCTGATCTTGTGCACATGTCACACAATTACAATATGTTAAAATATACCTTGGCGCGCACTGGAATAGATGGTCAGCTGGACTCGAACTCCGGAGCGCAGCTCATTGATCTGTGTGGAGATGAGGTCCATCGTCAGTTGCCGTATGGCCGGATTTCAGCCCTTAGCTGCAGGTGCCAATGGAGGAGAAGTGGGGGGATGACAAAGTGGATATGTTCTTCACAATTTAGGTGCTAATTCACAGGTTGCTTGAACACAAATGATGTCGCAACCTTGACAGGTGCTTTCTTCATCACATGTTGATTAATTACTTTTGGAAGGCGAGGCTTGGAAAACTCATGCCTATTCCCAACCAGGAAAGACCCTGCCATCCAGCAGCGAGACATGGTCATCGAACGAACTGAGACGCGAGCCGTGCACAGTGCGTGTCGTTTGTGCTGCCAGGCTCGCGTGGAAGCCTCGTCTGGGGTTCTGGAACCTACTTTGCCAGGGAAGCCAGGTGCGGTTTTTTGCGCAACAACACCAGACGCAGAGCTTGTGCTGTGTTGTTCCAAACAATGCCTTTTGGAATCTTTTGGACTAAATGAAGAATCAAGAATGGCTGAAGCGATTTTGCAGCTCCAGTCTGCAAGTTTGTTTGGATTTCACTTGATCTGAAAACAGCATGACACTAGCACGAGCTAACGAGCGCTGCCAGCGCGTTGCGTCCTCCTATAGCCACTCTGGCTGAGAATACAGACTTCGATCCGCTCCCTCACCGGGCGATTCCATCGCCGCACCGGTGTGGGGTCCGACACATTCCATGTGTCTTGGCGACGCCATCGTGGCGAGTTGGGGGGACGGATGGCCTGGCAGAAGTGGTGAAGGATGGAATATGATGGAATATATGTATACATTGACCCCCCTGGCACCACCCCAACTGATCGGCATATATGGCAGTCCCATGGAGCATCTGGGATTGTTTGGAGACGAGGATGTTCCAAAAAAGACAAGTCCTTCAGCATTTGAACCCTCCAGTTTACCCATGTTTACCCTCCAACAGGACCGGACCTGGCCATCCAAACGCAAGACTCCTTTCCGAAAACAGGCTTCCATGTTTCTTGGAAACAGGATCATCCTACTACCATCCTACTTCCTCTGAAATGCTACCGCAGCCAGGCCTCCGACGCAGCCGGAGCCTGGGAAGCCCCCACAGCGGCTTCAAGATCCCCTGAACGACCGGCCCATCAAGGAGGTGCCGTTGCCACCGGCGCAGCTCCTCACGGCAGATACCTTCTATGATAAGATTCTCGGAGCGAAGCGAAGACGACCGAGGTTTCAATCCGACCGCCCGGTTGTTGTTTGGTGTTCGTCCCCCTTGGGGAACGGAGGTGGGGAGGGGTGGTTTCAGGGTTGGGATGGCAGGTCTAAGTGGAGGAATGATGAAGAAAACAGGACAACACCATTGAAATATGAGTTTGTTATTGTTCCAAAAAACAAACTTTTGGCACACTAGAGATATATTACATGTATACTATATGGTACAAAGGTGGTTGGGTGGCTGCTGGGCAGCGGTTGGTGCAGATCAGATCTCCTTTGTGGGCCTTTCTTCCGTGAGATGTCCTTTCATCTTCCGTTCACGCTACCAGGACCCTCCAACAGGTCACCACCTGCGACTTTTAAGTCTGCAGCCTTCAGAGGAAACCTGGAGAGTGCTGCTACTACTACTACTACTGCTACTACTACTACTACTACTACTAGCTACTACTACTAGCTACTACTACTAGCTACTACTACTACTACTACTACTACTAACTATAACTACTACTACTACTACTTCTACTACTTTTACTACTACTTACTACTACTTACTACTACTTACTACTACTTACTACTACTTACTACTACTTACTACTACTTACTACTACTACTGCTACTACTGCTACTACTACTGCTATTGCTATTGCTATTGCCACTGCTACCACTACTACTACTACTGCTACTGCTACTGCTACTGCTATTGCTTTGCATATCACTACTACTACTACTACTACTACTACTACTACTACTACTACTACCAACAACAACAACAACAACAACAACAACAACGCTCTCTTGGTGTGCCCAGGAATGGTGAACCCAACATGCCAGTCCTCATGGAGCATTTGATCTTGGAGGGGGGCCTTGTCCCAAGAGCTCTTGTTGGATATCATCAGCAAAGCGAGTGATCTCTTCAAAGATGAGCCAAATTTGCTGAAGCTTAACGATCCCATTACAGTGGTTGGAGACATTCATGGCCAATACTATGACATGGTGACTTGGCAAGAAACACACTCTGAGAAAACAATCCTTTCGTCCAATTTAGCATCCTTTAGCCCTGACAAGACAAGATCACATGCAGCATTCTCTTTGTCGGTCAGTCACTTCAGAGTCAAGACGACCAACACATCGTCACATATCGTGAGACCAGTCATCAGTTTTTCCTGAGACCTCATGTAAAAATCCTTTCATCGAGCGAGCTGGCGAGCACGCCCCTTTCACCCATGTAGTCACCTCCGGCCTGGGACGATCACTGCACCCGGTGGCCTGATGAGGTGAAGTTGCTCGAGGTGGGTGGTCAACCCGGTGACACCCAATACATCTTCCTTGGCGACTATGTGGATCGCGGCTCCTTCTCAGTGGAGGTGGTCGCGGTCTTGTTTGCCCTGAAGATCAAGTATCCCAAGCAGGTGCGAAGCCTGGAAGCGAAGCCATTGGTCCGTTTTTTTGATGCATTTTCTTCAATTTCTGAGGGACATTTCTAGAGGTTGGCAGAAGTGCCTCTTTTTTGATGCGTTGATTATTGCCTGTGCTGAACTATGATTAATGCATCCTTCCAAGGAATGCTACGAGGGAATCATGAGTGCAGACAGATGACCTCTTTCTTCAACTTCCGTGAGGACTGCATGTGGGGGGCCCCGCCGGACCTGAGCTCTTTGTGGAGAAACGCCCGAGGAATCTGCAAACCATGCATACCAGTTCGTGATGACACCAAATGCATACCACACGGCATACGTAGAATGATCATGAATGATCCCCCTTTTTCTGACTGGTGCGACTCGTAGGGAATAAGGGTGGCTGAACTCCCAATAGAGATTCCTTTAAATCCAGCCACCCTCATTCCCTACTTTCGTCGCACGTGTCAGTTTTTGCCTCCCTAGGTTCGGGTGGCCTTGCCAGGGTGTGGTTGGGGCCGTCACGTCCATCAGACCCATCACCCTGGACCGGGAACGGGGTCTGGTAGGGGGTCTGGTCACGGCGTCGACCAGTGGTACCTCAGTTGGAGCAAATCACTGGCCTTCAAAAAGATGTGTTGCTTTTGGCCCAGCAGTGTTTTTTTTGGTTCCTAATCAAAGCTCTTGCAACTTCAAGTAAGGTTTGCCTCCCCTCCTCAAGCACGCTCGCACCAATGAAGAGGGGGGGGGCAGATGTTCAGATGCTCTTCCACTCTTCCAACCAAAAAAACACTAGGAGTGCGAATACAAGTACGACATTGGAGTCTACAATGCCTTCATGGACTCCTTCGACAACTTGCCCCTTGCTGCCACCATCAACGGGAAGTTCCTTTGTGTGCACGGTGGCCTCTCTCCAGACCTCGGAAACGTGAAGGCCGAGTGGATTTCACCGGTGGAACCGGGGCGAGAGCCGAGTGGAGCGCCGAGATCGTGCTGCCGAGATCGAAGCACAGAATTCGTTTCGAGCCGCCTCCCACCGAGTCCCAAAGGTATATTTATTTTGGACTTATCTTTCTGTTTACTTTTCGAATTACTTTTTTTAACCGTTTGCAGACTTGTGGCTTTTGGTGGCTTTTGGCTTTTGGTGGCTTTTGGTGAGGGTGATTTTAAGGGGTATTTTTCTTATATAGTTGTATTTATTTTTTAGTGGTTAGGTGGCTTTGATGTCCTTTTCCTTTTCCTTGCCCATTGCTTGTCCTTTTTCTTTTTTCCGTTTCCTTTCCCTTTTCCTTTTTCCTTTCCTTTATAAGACAGCAGCCAAGAGCACGAAAAAACATCCAACTAAAATAACAAATGTATAGTTCAAAAGAAGATCCGAACCCATCAATAAACGATCGACCTGTATTTGTGAGTGTTTTTTGTTCAATCAATGCTCCATCTTTCATTTCCACAACCCCTGACCACCCTTTGGGCCGTCCTGCTTCCACCCGTCCTCGGCCTGCTTCCTCCATCCGCCCTCGCGTCGCCAGGCCATCGCGAAGATCAATCGTTTCACCGAGCCGCCAAAGGAAGGTTTGCTTTGCGACCTGTTGTGGAGTGACCCCTTGGAGCCCAAGGAAGGGGAGCAACGGCCATCGGCCAAGAAGGGTGGACCTCCCTTTATTCCCAACGAGGCCGGGAAAACCCAAAAAGCCAGAAACATCGGCGAATGACGTTTTTTGAGAATGGACCGAGGAGGGAGGGAGGATTGAAGGTTCGGAGAGACCACTGAATTCGGAGACCACCTGCTTTTTTTGTTTTTTTAGGGTGTGCGAGGGTGGTTGTTGTTGTTGTTGTGGTGGTGGTGGTTGCTTTTATATGCTTTCGTTTCTTTTGCAGGTCGGTCTGTGGTGTTTTATGGAGTTGATTTCTAATTCGCAGACACGTTGTTTCTTTTTCTTCCCAAGCTGGTTCTGGCGGTTGTTCTCAAGTCGGGATCACAGGGCTTATTATATTCAATTGTATACATTCAGATGTATCTTCTGGAAGTTTTAGGAGAGACCAGCACATCCAAAAAAATAGTCGTACTACAAACATACCCCGTCACAAAACCTCGCATGCTCGGAACCTTCCTTTGCCAGGTTCGTGGTTGCTCCTACTTTTACAGTTTTGATGGAGCCACCACCTTCCTCAAGAAGAACAACTTACTTTCGATCATTCGTGCACATGAAGCCCAGCTTGAAGGCTACAAGATGCACAAAACCAATCCGAGCACCGGCTTTCCGCTGGTCATCACCATTTTCAGTGCACCCAACTACTGTGATGTCTACAACAACAAGGGTGCCATTCTCAAATTCGACAACAGCACCCTGAACATCCTGCAGTTCAATTGCTCGCCGCATCCCTACCATTTGCCCAACTTCATGGATGTCTTTCAGTGGAGTATGCCCTTCGTCATCGAAAAGGTCACCGAGATGCTTTACTACATCTTGCAACCTGCCGCGGGCACGGGCGACGAGGAGGAGGACGCCCTGTCTCCATTGCCGGACACCACGAATTGGGTCACCCATCGGGCCTCCTTGACGGACGACCAGAACCAGACCGTGGACATGGCCACTCGACTAGCGGCGTTGATTGCCAATGAAAACGCCAAGGCACGTGAAACCGAAGGGAAGAAGATCGACCCCGAGGCGCGGAAGAACAGAGATGTTTGTCATCGTTGGTCATGGAGCAAGGATCCTGGAGATGGAATGCTGTGAGACCACTCATTTGCTGAGTCGACTGTGTTGCAACGTTGCGACCATCTCAAAACAATACGACGAACATCAACGAACGCCCTCAAGTGTTAAGATTGTCTTCTTTCATGACGTTTCTTCATCTTTACAACCTTTTCCTCTCCCTGTGGATGTCCTCAGCCGTCAGGTGCGCGACCGCATGCGCAAGAAGGTCAGGTCTATCGCCCGGATGGCCCGCATGTTCAAGACATTGCGGCAGGAGAATGAGACCGTGGTTCGCCTGAAAGGTGTTTGTCCAGGCGGCATTTTGGTGGTTTCGATATGTTGTTTCTAATGCATGGCGAGTTCATGGCAGATTTCGGAGTATCGACATCCGTCCTTGATGGGCGCCCAGCATGCATAATTAACTTCCAAATTCACAGCATGGGACACTTGAGATTCAATGGTTATGTAGAGACGAGGTTGCCAATTGATGAGAACTTCCCTGTTTAGAAGGCCATTTGTGGCAGTTCCCACGGTCCAGCTTTTGTTCATTCACGATGCTTTGCCAAAGCTCGATCTATTTCAACTCTCCGAGTCGCACCGGGTGCCTGGGCGTTTACCCAGTGCCCTGGGTGAACGCGTTCACCTGGTGCCGTCCGTGCCTGGCAGGCCACAAACTGGCGCCTGGGCTGCTTTTGGCGGGCAAGGAGCGGTTGACGTCCGAGCTGGAGATGTTCACCCATGCCCAGGGCATCGATCTCGTGAACGAGAAGCGCCCGGAAGAGGCGGGAAAAGCCAATGCTCCAACAGACTTCAGGGAGGGGCTCAGTGACGGAGAAGTGAGTCCTTAGAGGATCAAAGCTCTAGGGAGCTCAGGTCTTCCATCTACAGTTGACGTGACTATAGGTCCTTTGAGGCAGAAACGGCCACCGGCCATCTGTCCCGACCACCTCGTGTGCAGCACGTAAGTCTGCGCTGGTCAATCTGCGCAGATGTCGCTGTTGAAGTTGAAATCTACCTTTTTCCCGAGCCCCGCCACACAGTGGTTGGGCCGGAAGCCATGTTTCACCCGGCGAACTTGGGCAGATGGAGGAAAGCAAAATGGGTCGGGTGCCAAGAATCCAGAGTGGCCCCTGTGGCATCATGTGGCAGCTTGGCCACCGTACTGCTTTTGTGAGAAGTCCCGTTTTCTTGGATCCCTTCGCAAAACCACCTGCTGCGAAACTGGTCATGTTTCTGCCGGTTTCCGTCATGCTCAATGACTCACTGCGGTTGGAGGTACGTCTCAGAGGGTGGCTTTTGTGGGAAGCCGAATGCCGATGGAACTCGACAGATGCTTCTGCTCCGGGAGCCCAGATGATCGTGTGGAATTTCGGAAGAGCGATCAATTGAGAGGAGCCGAGTCGAAGCGTTATTCTTTTGGCCATTGAAACTGAGTCCAGGTCCATAATCAATGCTAACCCTACAGGCCCTACAGGTCAATGACCTCATTTGACTGGATGTGGTCTTAAGGATGTAAAAGATCAGCCAAGGCTCCAGACCTTAAGTCATTTTTTTGGAGCCAGACGTCTCTTTCCGGTGTTCTCATGGAGCAAGAAAGAGTTCGGGTTCAGCTTTCATCCTTTTCAATCTGGAAAAAAACCACTTTGAAAGCGCGTGGTTTTCAGAGAGGCATTCAAGGTTGTGACATCATCATGATCTTCATTTCTTGAGGTGCTTGCTGATGACTGGCCTTCCATGCCTGGGAAGCCCACAACACAAAGGTGTCACCGCCTCAGTCGCCGCCGTGACCACCGCGTGTGACCGTTCCGCAGCCGCCGAGGTGCTACCGTTCCGGAGCAAGCCGTATCGGTACCACTCCTCGGTGGACAGCCTGTCGAGTAAGGGGCCCAGTGAACTAGGACCAGTCTGAGGTGTGAGATGAGAGATGGCTGGGGAGAGGGGTGATGCCCTAGGGATCCAAGTACCTTCGAAGGAGATTGAAGACACTAGGTTTGGATTGTCCAGTCGTACCGAATCTGAGGTTCGGTACTTTCCTGGATCCCTAGGGATGTTTTTTTTCGAAATGTTGGAAGCTGGAAGCTTCAAGTTGAACCTTCACCGGTGACGGTGAGGTGCTTGTTTGCTCATTCTTCAAATAGAGGTTTGTTGAAACCGCAACTTGCCACACCTAGATGCAGGTGTCAGCTAAGTTGGATCGTGTACAGCTGATGGGGACGTATGAAGTATACAGCCGGTTGAGCCGCTTTGTGGTTTCCAAGGTTACAGGTTGACGGGTTTACCATAGGTTTTTGGAGCAACTGCAGCGTGAACACTTCAACCTTGAAGCCTCGCTAAGTAGCAGGTCGTGGCTGGGTGTTCTGGCTGCATAGTCCGCACCCAGGGTGGTCCAGGTACAGATGGCCCTTTGGACTGAGACTCTCACAAGATAAGGCTCAAAGTGACATTAAGTCCAATCTTAGAACCATTGGGTAGCGATATGTAACGATCATGCGATGTGATTTATGGTATACCGTTTTTGTATAATATGAAGGTATGTTGCAATCAGGATCGAATCTAACATGGTGCGAGGTCCAGAGATCTTCATCACGCAGCATGCAGGCGCCGGTCGCTGCAAGGAATCGGTATATGATTTATAAACTATAACTTATAAATTATAGCTGCCAGGACCTTCAGTCAGTGACCGAACTTGAGATCCCAGTGGCTGAGGTCGCTTAGTCCCTGAAGAGGTCACTTACAGGTCCTCCATTTGGAGGTCACGAACGGCTCAGGTCCTGGTGCAACCAGCGATCACGTGTCTTTTCGATCTCTCACGTGGTGAGTTTCTGTTCTATAGCCGCCGCTGTGTGACGTATAGCCGCCGTCAGTCGATTCGTTCGGAAGCAGGTGCTGCTTTGCCGGCCTACCTCATCACCTTTCACTGAGCTTTTGAACGTGTTCGGTCCGGATTTTCCAAGGATCCCGTCGGCACACGGCGGACTCGGCCGAATTCCTTCGCCGCGGGGCGATAGCGTTGGGTGGCGAGAAGGCACCCCCCCCAACTCGGTCAGGATAGACGGACCGAACAGACTCCCAGACGGCTGGATCCTTGCTGTCGAACACGTTAAGTAGAATATAGACTTCTTCCAGGCATGTCATGTAGACACATGCCTTGGCCTGGATGATGCAAAAATGCAGTTGTACAGTGGGAAGGTCACGACTGGGACTCTGCATTCCAATCATCGGACTTGCATTCGACCCACGCCTTTTCCGCATGGGTCAACACATGTGAACACCCAAGCCTGATCCGCTGTAGCTTTTTTTTTTAGCTCCTTGAAAGCATGAAGACTCCCCTCAGTGGCCGCAGGTGTTTTTTCTCGCTCGCATCACCCGCGCAGCGAGCGACCACACGAGCTTCGCGCGGCCGCGGAGCTCGCTCAGCTGGTGTTGCATCGGTGGTCGCTACATCGCGGCGGTGGGGTGATCCTTATAGAAGAGGGGCCTTTTGGGTGAGTGGGAGTTGCTCTCTCGCTCCTCAAGGCGGCGCCTTTTAGTTGCAGTTTTGGCCGGATGGGTGGTCACACGGATGCGTACACATGCTGCTGTGTACTAGCTTGTTATGGATGTAGGTGGCGATGTTCCGAAAACGAGTGCTGTCTTTAGAGACAAGTTGTCCTGTTAAGTTTCCTAGCGGCTGGATTCACATATGATGGTGGCCGTCAAGTTCGAGATCTCACCTGCAATTTTGGTCAACATACTTTGACTGACCCAGGGCCCTCTACCGAAGGGATTTGGATCGCGGACCCCCAACCGGCGCAGATTGGCCTTTGGGCCGATCGACCAGCGACAGGCGCAGTCGAAGACTCGCCGGAACTCTTCCGTCCGGGGGATCGCGGAGTTGGAGAACAAAAGCGGAGAAGAAGCGCCATGAGCGGGCCATGACCGGTGGATAGATGCTGGCAGTTGATTTGGAGCTCCTCCGAGAATGTGTTCAAGTACATTCAAGTGACGTACATTCAACATGAGGGACATCTATGTGCTGCTTGGTCCTGGGCCCCATCAGGTTGAGACAAGGACAAGCCAGCGCAGATGTGGCCATGGCTCCAACACAATTCTCGGGGTCATTCGATTCCATGGCCACCCCAGCCAATTTCAGTGGCTTCCCCTGCCCCAAATCCAATCTTTGGTGCATTGGAAGGGAGATCCTTCCACACCCCAGCTACTGAAAAGCGAGCTGTTTCATCACTTTGGCAGATCCGGCCAAGGCAGGCAGAGAGTTCTTGGACTCTGCTTTCTCACACCCAGAGGATAGGCAGCAAAGGGCCACCCAACACTTTCACACACTGGAGTTGGAGCCTTTGGCACTTTCACCAGGCCACGCATGTCGGCACACCGACCCATGAACTGTTGGAAACGATACACAAACTGGATCCATCCAGGCCCAGAAACAGCCTCATGACCCTGACCCGGACTTAGATGCCGGACTTGGCCTCGACACCAACCGACCCCTTCGCGGAGCCAGGTCTTGAACTCCAGCTTGGCGCTTTGTCTTTCTCCAATCGCCATGTCTGGGGCACGCTTGGCCTGTTTGCCGCCTGCTTGCGCTTTCGCATTGGACCTGGGACGGACGCACTGGCCAGGCCACCTCTTGGCCTTCCACACACGTCTCCATGGTGCAGGGAGAGGCGCCAGAAAGCCCTATACTCCGACAACTCACGGCGGTCTCGAAACGGCGACTTTCCACCTTCCGTCAGGTCCAGAGACCGCTCTATGGGCCCCAGGCGTGGGAGAAAGCGCACTGGGCGCCCGTTCCTGACCCGGTTTTCACCGGGCAGGCTGGTCAAAACTGAAATTCAAACAACGAGCCTCAAAATATCTCAAATCCCAAAATTTCACATTGTTACCCTTCTACCCCCGAGTTCTCTGAGATTGGCCGCACATTGGCAGATGCCATGCCTCCATCCTCCGCGCTCGGAATCGGATCCTCGCATCCGCCGCCGCGGTCGGTCCGGTGGAATCTGGCTTCGGAGGATTTCCTCCCGAGCTTCACCGATCCGATGGGTCCAATGTCTCCCATCTTGGCTCGGCACTCAGTGCGGACCGGCGGCTTTGGGCCCGGTGGGATGGAGCAGGGCGTGCCCTGGGGAGACCTAAGGACCGGTCGAAGGAGGTCTGGACCCATAGGGACCCTGGTGAAAAGAGAAACATGAGCCAGCTGTACCCATCAGTTCCATAGAGTTGGGTGCACCAGACTGGAGGAAGTCGGGGGTGTCCCTGCAGGTCCCTGTCACATCCACTCACTGGATGGGTCTCAAAAACCACCCCGAAACGGCGGCAGGCGCTCCAGTGTGAGTGTGGATCATGGGCCACGTGTCACAACGTGTCACACTACAGACTTGCAGTGGGTCTCCCAGGCGGGTTGCCCCCCCTTCAGTACTCCGAAATGTTCCATCACTGCATTCATGGGTTCCACCCCGCGGCGATGGATTGGTCGGTGCGGTTGAGGCTCCAACGCAGATCTCCCTGTTGCCCTCGGTGTCCTTGGAGGTGAGACATGGAGCGGACAGAACACCACGGCCAGTGGGGCCGCATGACATTGAGGTCCGGGGAAAGAAATTGGAACAATAGACCTGAGTGACCTTGATTTGTGACCAGGGGTCCACCACCCAAAAGAGAGGTCCAAGGGTGGTGGACCCAATCTTGGCAAATTTGCCTTCATTTTGCTGAGGCTGAAACGGACCAACTTGTCTAATAATGTGGAATTGATGATCATGACGTATATATGTGATATTTAACATATATACAGAGCCGCTCTTAGGTTGGAGGCCATCGCTAGTTGGTTGGAGGCCATCGCTAGTTGGTTGGAGGCCATTGCTAGTAGGTCCCGACCCCGAATGCGAGGCCGTCGTGAGCTCTCCAGGTCAGTCGTGACGCGTAAGAACACAAATGCCATGAGAAATGTCCAGCACCACCCAAAGGGACATATTTCTTTTTTTGGCTTTAAAGACATTTCTGGAGAAGACCAACCATGGCATGCTTTACAAAGGGTCTCCAGAAATGTCTTTCTAGATCCCCCTGAAGAGGTATTTTCCATCGAACCACCCTGGTACTGGGTGGTGCTGGACGTGGCTCATGTGGCTGGACGTGGCTGAACGTGGCCAGGAGGTGACGCCCAGTTGTCTAGTCCTGGAAGGAGGGGAGGATGAGGCCTGGCATCAGGGTGGTGGAGTTGAGGCCTACAAGGTTGGAGCCTACAGGTTTCAGTCATTCTTTTTCTATGTGGGAGGCCATTGCTTCTAGGTCTTAGGTTGGAGGCCATTGCTATTAGGTTGGAGGGCATCGCTAGTAAGTTACAGGTCATCGCTATTTCTATTTTAACTCTTTTTAGAAAGACATGAACAATTGTACCGCTTTAGGGTCGCCCTGTCTTTTTGAGCCTGAGTCATCGCATGCTATAGTCGCATGACACGTTTTGACTTATGTTTTGACCAGGAGTTACACTGGCATATTTGAGAGAGTCATTATCATTAAGCAATAAAGTACGATAAGTTGTCTTTGGTAAGATAGCAATCCAATATGTAGCATGGCAGATTGGAAAGGATACCACTCTGCAGATGTGTTAAGTTGCGGGAAGCTGGATTTCCAAGGGATCATTCATTATTGGATTTTACATATACATGTGAATGACTCCACAGATGATGTCGTTCCAAACATTGTGTTGGTATCGTAAGATACAAGACATGCTCATCACAAACCTCCGATAGACTGGTGATTGCACGCATGACCCACCATTTGTTTGGTTCCACTTGCGATTCAGGTGACGATTGAAGTGACCTTTGCTTTTGAAGCCTCCATGGAGGACAGCCCATGTGGTCCAGACGACACTGACATCGGCTTTACGACAGTGATCTCCAGTTCTTTGATTGCCCTGGG